GCCTCGGTCTACTAGACGGACAGCATTTGTAAGCAACTCTCTCCCCAGCCCAGTTAATAATTCAGGAGCCAGAGCCTGCAGCCAACCTATCACTCCAACCCCGCTGCCACCCTGAACACCGAACTAGTGGACAGGAAAGGAAAAATCATTGTGCTGGCTTAAAAAATGGTTCTTGCTTCAAGTGCTTGCTGATCCCTGTTGTAGGGTGGGAGAGAGCCAGGCGCAGACATATCTGCTGAAAGACAGTGAGAGAAGGAGGGAACAGTCCTGGGGGTATAGGCACACACATGGAACATTACTTAACGGTAAGATCAGAGCCACATTTGTTTTTGAACAGTGTACTGCTGTCGCTCTGGTACAGGTCTTGAGACATCCACTTCTCACCCCCACCTCTTTAGCCATTTTTCCTTCACTCACTGCTAACTCATTTACCCTTCATGGGTGCTGTGGGCATGGAAGGTACAGATGCTTGAGGCATGGGACCTTCCCTTTGTGGGCATGGAGGTGGGTATTGAGGTGGGCATAGAGGGTACAGATGCATGAGGGATGGGATCTTCCTTCCTGGGGCAGACATCTGCACTCATAGCTACAGAAGGTCAATAAACAGCCTTCTTGGAGCTCTGCACAGGGGTGTGATTTGTGGTGGGTTTGATGGGGTTCCTGGAGTCCACAGCAGAGAAAGGAATGTAGAGGGGCCATGAGTAAGAACATGGACTCTGCAGTCAGACAGCCTGGGTTCAAATCCCATGTTTAGACAAGTTAGCAACTTTGTGTCTCAGTTTACTGGTATACAAAATGGGGCTGATACTAGGAGATTGATACAAATGACCTCATTCTGTGGTAAGATAATAGAAAGGGAGTCAGAAGGCCTAAAAACAAAACTCCAACAATACAAAATGCTGACAACTCTACAGCCACTTTAGAAAAGAAGTTGGTAATGTAATTACTTATAAAGTTACATACATTTACCATACCAACCAGCAATTGCATGCTTTTATTCAAGTAAGGAAAACTTAAGGCCATACACCTGTAAGTGATTTAATAAGTGATTATTAACATGGGAACAACCACCATGTATTCTTCAGCAGAGAATGTGGTACTTCTAAGCAATGGAATACTACTTAGCAATAAAAACAAATGAACTACTTGTGCACACAGCAATACGTATTGTGCTAAGTGAAGGGAGCCAACCATATGATGTTATAGAAAAGGCAACAGTGTAGGGTCGGTGGGGATTGGAGAGACACTGACTAGAAGGAGTTCTAGGGAGTTACTGGGGGTTGGGGATGGAAGGATTTGATATTCTGATTGTGATGGTATGCGTTTGCCAAAAGTCACAGAACTAGACATTCATAATGGTGAATCTTACTGTAAGTTATATGTCAATGAAAAAACCTATAGAACAAAAAGATTAGGAGAACAGGAGAGCAGAGCTGCAGAGCTGACATTTGTCAAATGCTTAGAATATTGCCCAGCATAGTCCTGCTGCAAGGGTAAGGCTTGGAAGTGATAGTTCTGGGCACAGACGCTCAATGTCCCTTTGCTCAGGTCTTCCTGTGGTACCCTATCCTCTCAAAGCCTCCTGGCTCTGCCCAACAGGGCCTCTTCCTAAGGCTCTCACCTCAGTGTGTGCCCTCTCTGGTCCATCCTAGTTCTGCCTTCTGTGATCAGGCTGAAATCTTTTATTTGACCTCAGTTTCCCTGTTATGCTTACTCCTTTTATTTGATTTTCGTTGCTGTCATCTTAGCAAAGGAGCCTTGGTACATAGTGGGTTACTGATAACTGCAAGGTCAACAGCTGGGATCTAGCAGCCACTCCTCTGGAGACAGCTAAGGCTTTCTAATCTAGTAAACATTTACAACCTCAGAAACCCTATACACCGTCTCTGTGAGTCAGGACCTACTCCAAGGTACCCAGCCGCTGCCATCACCTTAGCAAGGTTTTAAGAAGCCTTGGTGGCAGAGAGGATTGTGTTGGACTGTTAATCATAAATCCCCTGGTTTAAACTACCAGCTGCTCCACAGGAGAATGAGGAAGATTTCTGCTTCTGTAGATTTATAGTCTCGGAAATCCTAAGGAGAAGTTTTACTCTGCCCTTTGCTGGAGTCCTGGTGTGGTGCTGTAGGATAGGCATTGGACTGTTAACTACAAAGTTGGCGGTTCAAACCCACTGTATACTCCTTGGAAACCCTATACAAGGCTGCTATGAGATGGAACTGATTCAGGGACACAACGTAGGGTTGCTATGAGTTGGAATCGACTCAATGGCAGTGGATTAGCAAGGTCTTGGGAGAAGTGACGTTCCACCTGCGCAGTCCACACGACATTTTGAGTCAGAAATCTGTACTCAGATGAGGCCAGTGAGGATGCTGGAATGCTGCCGGGGAAGGTGTCACAAGGGACAACTTTTAAGCGACCCTTGAAGTTTGGAAGAGATTCACCAGGCAGAGAAAGGAGGAAGGGCATGCCAGGCAGAGGGGACAGCATGTATCAAAGCTGATCTGCCAGAAAGACCAGTTCCGGTTGGAGAAATGTGAAGTTGTTGGTTACGATGGCGTGTGGACGGTTTCAGAGGAAGCATCAGGAAGCAGGGTAGGCAAAATACACCTGGGTCAGTTTGTGAAGAGCCTTGAGTACCATGTGAACTCTTTTTGAAAATGGGAAAATATTGGGAGTTTTAAGCAAGTAGGATTACAACAGACTGTCTCCCTAAGAAGTCTTGTTCTTTCTCTGCACAGCCATCACCGGGTGTGTGGGGCACACTTGTGCCCTGAGCAACATTTCATTGGCCCTGCAGTGGGTTTTCAAAATTTGATTTTTTATTAAGGTGTTTAAATTTGTGAAATTTAAAAATCAAATTTTACTTGGACAGAATTCTGGGTGTCTGGCTTCTCTTTAGATGGACATAGACACCCCAGTTTGCCAAAGCCCTACCTGTTTTCTTATATCACCTAACGCTTATCAATCTTAACCTCAGGGTTGACAGTGGGTTATAAAAGGCAGTGCAGGCAGCATATGGATTGAATTGTGCTGTTAGCCCCGGGGTCCTGGGGTGGCGCTGCAGGATAATGTGCTGGACCGCAAGGTCCATTTGAACTGCAAGGTCATCGGTTCAAACTCACCAGTTGCTCCTTGGAAACCCTGTACAGTGTCACTATGCGTTGGAACCAACTTGACAACACTTACCAACAACAGTCAAGTACTTCGTATACATGCTCATGTAATCCACATCACTATTCTATGTGTGACAAAGCAGTGATTATCCCTACTTTCCAGGCGAGGAAACTGACTCAGGTAGGTTAAAGTATGCTGCCACAGAGAACCAGCTTTGGAGTAGCAGAGTTGGTAACCCTTTACCCAGGGTTCTTTGAAATGTGTTTGTGGCCCACACTCACTATCACCTTAACCTCAGCCAGGAATATATGCATACACACACACAGCTTCTCCTGACCCATTTTATTGTCTTTGGTGCCCCCTCAGCTTACATTCTGGTACCCTGTGGAAACTTGTCTCTGTCCTTTGTCCCTCCAGGTCTGCGTGGCCAGCCCATTGTGGGACTTGGTTGTTCTGAGAAGGGAAGGGGCAGAGAGCTCAGCCCTCCCACCCACCTAGTGGACAGTCATTAAATGGCCCAGGTCACTCCCATCTCAGCTATTTTTGGCTGGCTAGTCTGTTGCCATTAAACATTTATCACACTGCTGCTCCTATCATAGTAAGCACTGTTCCAGCCATTCCGACAAAGGGCGATTTTTGGTCTTTCTTTTCTCTTTGCTGCCTCTGTGGTCCACATAGAGACATGAGTGGGCATTTGCCCTGGGGAGATTCTGGGTTGAGGCTGCCTGGGGATAGGGCTCGGAATGGATTGTGTAAATCTCACTTGGCTGATACTCCTCAAGGATCCTGCTCCCTGTACACAGCGCTCACAAATGTTCTTTCTAAATGGTGCTCCCAGCGGGTTGGGGCCACCTAAGGCCACTCTAGGAGTACTTCCTGGTGAAAGTCACTGTGATGGTGCTCCCGGTTGGAGGTGCTCCCTGTGGACATTGGCTCTGTACATGCTGCTTCTGTGGGCAGTGCCCACCATGGACACGTGCTACAACAGAACTCGGCAGGGACCGAGTTCCCCATGGATGGTGCTCACGTCAGGCGGTTCTGGGCATGGACAATCCCAGCCATAGCTGGTACTTGTTTTTCTTGAACTTGTCAGGGTGGTGCTGGTCACTTAGAACAGTTTCATCATGGGCAGGTCTAGCTTCGTACAGTCTAGCATTATTCCTGGTAATGACGTTGGCACTTCTGTAATAATATCACCACTATGATGGTTCTCAGGACAGGTGGCTTCACCATTGGTGGGCCTTGCTATGGATGGCTCACCACTGAGGTCACAATACTGATGTTATTACCAGTGGTAGTGTTGACATGGGCAGTCCCATCATTGATGGATCTTGAGACAGTTCTTACTAACAATGGTTCTCAATTTTGATGATTGATTGTTGGGTTTCAGTATGGATGATCCTCATCTCTCTTGCTAGATGTGACCTATCTGCTGATGATTCTTACTACAGATGGGATTACCCATTGTGCACACTTGACACTGTTGGGTACTTTCTGAAGTCTTTTCTACTTGTTTTCACTATAACCGCTCTGGACGATGTCTGGGTTTCTGGGTCCTTCAATCCGTTTCTTAGGATTTAGTGGTTGAGCAATTTTCTCATAAAGACACGCATCTCTGGGCAGCTCCTTGCCCTCAACCATCTGGCTGCTGTTTTTCATGTTGTTCTGCGTCTTGTCCTTCTCTAGACTGGTATTGCTGCTGCTCAGCCTACTTTGCACACTGCTGTTCACCCCGATACTCTGGGAGCTGCTGGTTTGGCTGGAGGGTAGGCTGCTTATGGAACTGACCTGGTCACTGCTCACCTGGTAGGTGAGGGCACTGCTGCCCTGGCTGATGAAACTCATGCTGGTCAGACTGTTGGTCCTGCTGCCTGGCAGGCTGGTCTCACGTTTCCCCTCCAGTCTGCTTGCTGCTAACTGCTTGGTTGGTCTTCCGGCTCTTTAACTGGGTGGGAGAGTAGATGGCACACAGATGGCTAGTCTGGTTGCTGCTGACCACCTTGTTGTTGGACCTTCTACTCAACTTTAGGACTTGACAACTGCCCACCAAGCTGACCTCACTGTTTTCAGTGTCCCCCATGTACCCACTGCTCAGCAGGCTGGCATTACTGCATTTCACCAGACTGAGGGGTCTCCTGCTTGCCGCATCACTCTGACTGCTCCCGATGACTCCCAGGTCACTGCATGGACTTCTCAGGAGCTCCCGATGTGCCCCTGCATCCTGGCACGGCCATGCATACGGCTGGAGTTCTGGGCAGGGTGACTGCAGATTTAGATCTTGTCCCTGCACGTCTCTGGCAGAAGATGCTCCCTTTTCATCCTGGAGACTACTGGAAGAAATTTGTTTATCCAGGAGGAGTCCCCCCCGCCCCCCAGAGGCTTCTGAAGTCTGGGTGGTGGCTTGTGTGGGGAGAGGCGGCTCAATTTATAAGGGTCTCCTTTCATTACTGAGTGTTCTGATTGGCTGGCTCCGTTCCCATGGTGATGGTACCTGTGAGGCAGGGCCAGGGTGGGGGGAGAACAATGCTGTCCCCACATCAGTCACATCAGTGGCCTAGGTGGGAGGGGAGCGGTCCCTCAGAAGAGAGGCTGACAGCCAGAAGGGGCAAGAACCAACTTCCAGAACTCTTTCTGAGGGGCCAGTGGTCTCTGCTTTCCCAGCCACCACATCAGGAGACCTGGATGGGAGTCCCACAGGAGCCCTTTCTGAGCTGTGTTTCTTTAGAATGACATCCATCTTTGGAACTTCAGTTTGCCAACTGTGATTCCTTTCCGGGTCTCCCAGGCCTGGCCTGCTCTGGCTCCATGTCTCTCTCACCCAGTGCCTTCCTGTTATGGAGGCTCCACTCCCTCTGACCACTTTCTCATTCTGAGCTCTTAGTTGCTGCAGGGCCTTTTAACTCGCAGACTGTGCCTTCTGCCTGGAATGCTTGTCCTTTGTGTGGTTTATATGTCCCCTCCTCAGGAAGATCCCTCATGCTCTTTAGTTCTTATCTCCTCATGGATGCCCCTTGTGGCATGAATTACAACTTGCAGTTATTTTCCTTTTGTGTGTTGGTTATTTATGACCAGCTCCCTCCATGAGAATGTCAACTTTGTGAGACCAGAGATGTTGCTTTAGTTTCTGGTATGCCTGCAGTGCCCAGCCAGGTACCTGGCACATAGTAGGTGCTCATTAAATAGCTCTTGAATGAATGAATGTTCTTTCCTGGGGTGTGCATCACAGTCATCTGAAGAACTTTTTATTTACTTATTTTTAACTTTTTTATTGTGATTTGGGTGAACATTTACAGAGCAAATTGCTCTTCCATTCAACAAATTGTACAGTTTGCTTCCCGAGGTTGATTGCGATACCCACGATGTAACAGAACTCTTCCCACTCTCGCCCCGTGTTTCCTGTTTCCATTCACCCTTTCTTCCTAACCCTCCTGCCTTTTAAAAATCATGTTTGGATTTTCTTGACCACTGGCTCTTTCTCTTGCTGTACATTGGGATCACTGGGGGTACCTGGGTCTTATCTCAAAGATTCTGAGATAACGGGTCTGGGGCGAGGCATGGAATGAAGATTTTTAAAAGTCTCCCAGATGACTCCAACTTGGAGCCACCATTGAGAGCTCTTGTGTTGAGAGGAGGCTGTGACATACGTGTGCATTTAAGTTTTAATTTTGATGAAATATACACAGCTCCTGTTCTACAGTTTCTAGACAAAATGACCAATGATATCAGGTACATTTTTCACATGAGACCACATTCTTGGCGTTCTAGTTGTTTCACTTCCATTAAACTCCCTGTCCCCCCTCCTTCTCATCTTTGCTTTAAAATAGCTGGTGGTTCTCTGGTCTTATAGACATCCCATCCCATTTTTAATGTAATACTCAAGGGTGACAATCTTTATTCTCTGGGCAAAATTGTGAGTTTAAAGCTGACTTCGGGGGACCATTTCAGTTCAAGGTTTGACAAGCAGCTAGGGGTAATGGTCTCTAGGATTCCTCCAGCCTCTGTAGTAAGTTTGTAGTCTTTAAGAATTTGAAGTTGTGTTTCACCCCTTTCTCCCTTTTTGCCAGGATTCTTCTCTTGTGTTCCTCTCAGAATGTTCGGCAGTGGTAGCCAGGCACCATCTAGTTCATGTGGTCTCAGTGGTTCATAGAGACAACTAGTCCTGTAGTCCACTTCCTTCTTGGGTTCTTGAGTTTCCTTCTTTATCGTTGGTTCTAGATAAATAAAGGCCAATAGTTATATCTTAGCTGGCTGTTCATCAGCCTTGAAAATCCCCGACACTAGTTGGCACTCTGGGAAGTAGCAGAGAAACTTTGAGAACGACATTATCTGTATCTGCGCTTTCTTAGGTGTGTCTGATGTGCTGCTCGGGTTAGGAACCATTACAGATGACTGGAAGAAAGACGTCCTGCTCCCACAAAGATGTACAACCTGGGAAACCCCATATAGGGTTACTAGGGGTTGGGATTGACTTGACGACACTTAACAACACAACTGTAGATGACCACTGTCTGCCAGGCTCTCGTCCCGTGGCTTGTGTGTTACTTGTGTTGCTGTGGTGATGGACACGGGATTACTGAGATTTCCAATACCAGCAGGATCACCCAGGACAGACAGGTTGCAGTGGAGCTTCTGGAATTACATAGTCTAGGAAGAAACACCTGACAAGGGAAATCAGAAAACCAGCCAATGCCAACCCTCTGGGGCACCACAGAGCACTGTCTGATACAGTGCTGGAAGATAGCCTTCTCGGTTGGAAAGTTTTACACAGTGACCACGATATGCTAACAATCATGCAGATGAAAAAGACTGGGGCAGCATTTTGTTATGTTCTACTTAGGGACTTAGGGTTGTCATGAGTTGGAGCCAGCTCAGTGGCAGCTAACAACTTTGGGTGAGAACACCTAGTACATTTATTGTTGTTGTTAGGTGCCGTTGAGTCAGCCCCTAATCATAGCGACCCTATGCACAACAGAACGAACCACTGCCTGGACCTGCGCCAACCTCCCAATTGCTACATTTGAGCCCATTGCTGTTACCACTGTGCCAATCCATCTCACTGGGGGTCTTCCTCTATTTCTCCAACCCTTCACTTTAGCAAACATGACATCCTTCTCCAGGGACAGGTCCCTCCCAATAATAGGTCCAAAATATGAACAACGAAACCTGACCATCCTGGTTTCCAAGGAGCACTCTGGCTGCACGTCTTCCAACACAGATTGGTAGATTGTAATAGATGCTTATTGAATGAATGAAGAAATTCTTTGACCCTTAAATCATTAATGGATGGGATTTAAGAACTTTGAGAATTCATTGAAATTGTATGCACAATTTGTGATGAGCTCTATACAACGGTGCTTCAAAAGTTCATGGAAAACTTAGATGAAAAGATAATGAGATTTTTGCATGAACATTTTAAAGCCCCCATGTATATATTTAACCCCCTAATGGAGGAATCACAGCTTTCACTGAATTCTCAAGGTGTCTGTGATTCACCAAATGGGAAAAAGCATAAAGATTCAATATAACTTTTGCCTTCTCCTTGGGCCCCAGCACTGAGCAGGACTCTCACAGGTCTGGAGAAGGCTGGTTTGCTCTGTTAGCTTAGGGCGGGGAGAGAAGAAAGGCGTACCTTCCTTGGAGAGAGAGCTGCTCAGCCTCTTGACGGTCATCAACACTGTCATGTGATTATGAATTCTGGTTCTAGAGTCTGGGGCTGTTTAGATTCCCTTAGCTCTACCGGGGGGAGGCAGCTTTTGCTTGGGAAATGCTGACCCCCATAGCCAAGGGTTTCCCAACAAGGCAGGGTAGGAAACAGGCAGGGGGGCTTAGTGGTGATGCTCAGAGTAAGGGGCATGGTGGGACCCAGCTGTCGTGTTCCCACAGGGTCAAGGTCTAGCCCTTTAGGGTTTTGGCAGGACAGAGGCAGGCATAAGGAACTTGACAACTGATGCCCCAGGGCTGGAGATCATGGTGGGCCAGCCTGTTGGAATTTACAGTCCTCCTAATTCCCTTCATCCCAACTGCCCCAGGCACACCATGGGATGGAGTAGGGTAAATGGCAAAGACCTTTTCCTTTCTAGCACCTATAAGTCCAGGGTATAAGCCATGCTTCCTGAATGGCCAGCTTCATCGCTCCTTCTGGAAGTCTCTCATGGATGTGGGAGTGCTGGGAAGGCATCTCAGGAGGCTCCTGGTCCTTGCTTCAGTCTTCTCCTTCTGCCTCCCACCTGTAGCTGGTGCCTTCACCATGTCCTGCTCAGCTGCTGCTTCCTGGATTCCTCCAGGTATACATGCTTTTGCACTATCCCATGGCTGCATTATGTTCTGGGAGAAATGGCAGAAGGGGTTTCTCACCACAGGGCTCCTGTCTCATTCTGGGGACCTTGCACCAGGCTACCTTTTTTGTTCCTAGTCTTTATGACTGTTGGGCCCCTTGGAGACCCTCTTTCACCTAAACACACTCTCTACCTGCTCTCTCCAGATCCCTACTCTCTCCTGTCAATTCCCGCTCCCCCCACCCCCCACAGAGGACTGGGACTTCTGGGCCACCAGTGGCAGATCCCCAAGGCCTGCCTGAGTCTCAGTCAAGCCTCACATTGGGCCCCCCCACCCCCCGCTGTGTCATAGTACATCTGCATGCCCTGGAGCCCATGGTCTCCCTCCCCAGCTGTGACAATGTTCACCAAACCATCGCCCTTCTCTCTGGGCCCATATTAAAAGCACTTTAACACTCCTGGCACATGGGGGGAGGGGGGTACCTGTTAAGTGAGGGCAGGAGGGAGGTGACCTGGGATCAAACACATTTTGTATGCTAGAGATGGCCTAGTCCCACATGGAGGGAGCCTGGGGCCCTCACCATGCACATCTGTGATATCAGCAAGTGAACATTTTATTGTACCTACATCTGGGGTTGGGTTGTTATCACCGAAGGAGCCCTAGGGGTGCAGAAGTTAAAGAGGTTGGCTGCTAACCAGTGGTCCTTGGTCTATACCCCCAGGCACTGCACAGGAGAAGGATGAGAGAGT